CAAGGGAGGCTAGGAGTCCCCCCCTGTCATTATCGGTAATAACACTCTGTCTATATCATGCACCGCTGTGTGGCCTCTGAGCTTGAGAGAGGGCCCGTAAGGCACAACGGGACTAGTGAATTCCGTAAAAAGAACGATCGGTGAGGAACCCCTACCATGGTAGCGATCTATTCAGATCTGCGGGAGGCTAAGAGATACTCTGTGCCAGTGTTAAGGTCGTAAGTATTTCCAGCGTTTTACGAGTTCATTATTTGCATGTTTACTCTGGAATAGCCTTCCTCCAATGGCACACACATAAAAGATGCACCGGAGCACTGCGGGGACTAGAATTGGGCACGGCACGCACTTACCAGACTGCGCAGTGTCCCTGAATCCTGTAACAAATGCCACAAATCCGGAGTTCGGCAGCACGCCTAGGTGCAAACTGCCCGCCACGCTAGCCGCTGGCGCCGAATCCCAATCTTAGATGGCTGATCGGCTCACACATTGGGCTTGTGCGCGGGAGATGGAAGATGCTGCGGAATCAAACCTCATGGCAACTCAGTGTATTCCTCCCTGTAAAAATTTCCCAGCGCTTCGTACCAATCGGGTGCGCTAAAAGTCACGAGCAGAAAGGTTGTCATTTAACGGGATAATTCGGTCCTCTCGGGACCAGTAGTCAGGCCCATATGGCACGTTCACTTGGGCAAGATTTGAGCCTCACTTTTGTTAAGTTAAAATCTGGTAAATGTATGTGAACTGGACTGTTTAGCTTTGTCATCTACTGCACCAGAGCCCGCCTCCGGTCTCCTTAATTTTCCCAGGCACCACACTCAGGTGGATGAGAGAAAGGTGGTGCGACAGATGCTATGCAAGTCAGGCATCACTGCAAATTAACCAGCTCACATGTCAGCATCCTGCGCCCGGCACATTGTGGGACACACCGTGCAAACCGTCATTCGCGACGGTCGAAGTGGCGTTACTCTTGCACATCAAAAATTACAACCTCCAAAGGAATGAGAAGTGTGAGCCTATACGCCGCGGAGGACTGTCAACGTGTTCATGGTTGGAGGAGGAACCAAGAAAAACGAGTTGCATGCATTACCAGTGAGCGCGCCGGGCTTTCCGTATGTAACTGCCTCCTCTCTTGCTGATTTGCGAAACACGAGTGACTGCGAAAATGCATCAGTGTACCGTGTTATTATTTTTAAAGTAAGTACTAATATTTCTGGGTGCTTTCTTCATCCTAATTTTTATGCAATAATAACCCCAAGGCGGAGTCCGTAGCCTTCATAGAAATGGGAAGTGGAAACTACTCTAGGTTCTTTCAGAAGGCTTTCTGTAGGAAACGCTATGGACTCGAATGACTGGCGATTATATGACCTCGATGACCAGTCTGGATCGACTGAAGGTGCTTGATTATTGATAAATTAGGATTACTAGTTAAAATATAAAGAGCAGATTGCCCAGAAAAAGTTGAATTTTCTTAAATCATGCAACGATTTACCGTACTAACAGCACAGGTATTAGCTAAAAGTCCAGACACGCGTGTTTCGCCGATCTTATGCTGCTGCCTGACGCAGCTGCGAGGGGTTCGGCTCGTCAGTGGGTCCCCCAGCTTTACCCATGTATTTTCCGGTAATATGAACTCCAGTTTCAACTGGCCTTGCTTAATTTCCGAGGAAATCAACAAATGTTGTGATGGTATTCTAAATCTTCCCCCACAGCAAACCAAAATTGAAGACAAATACGACATCTTAAATACCTCCAGACAATAAATGCGAGAGACAACGAGCTATAGATATTGTGAAATCAGGCTTTCGATCAAGTTGTGAGGCATTTTCCCCGTTGTAGCTTGGAATTCACTCCAGAGCCTTCGTAGCAATCGCGTAAAGACTAGTGGTACATGCAGTAGGAGAGGAAAGCGTTAAACGTAGTAGCGTTTGATTGCCAAGGAGAGCGGTTTTGATTTCATGTCTTGCAAACCCAGGGTTGGATAAAATTGGCTGACGACGGCTCATTAGCCCGAAATGATCGTCATAGTCTCCCCTTGTCTATTTCGATACGCCCCTTCTGCATAGAAAGACTGAGCGCCGACAAAAACGAGGGGTTGAGCCACAAGACGTTACGAGGCGAGTATGTCTCTCAAACTGAACAGTGAACGCACTTCCAAAATAATTAATATGTCCTGTCTCATTCGACACTACGATAGGTCTGTAAATAATTGGCTAGAGATCGGACTACCTAACGCCGAATGGGTACAGATAATGCAAATCCGGGGTTGAATGTGACTGCTGACGACGATTACTTGGCCAGAAATAGGCACTCCAGTCTTTCTTCCGCCTTGTCAGTGCTCTACCCGAAAGAGGACTATTAAAACATTCAGTGTAACAGGTAGAAGAGATCAGAAAGCAAGCATGAGGGCTTGATACCTGTTTAGCGAGGGCTGGGCATTGGCTCTGCTAGGCGGAAATGATAAACAGAGGGACTTTGACGGGATTGTTTTGGTGTATTTTTGAGAAACTATTTACAACTTGCGAGGAAACCATCAACTGCCCCATGTATGTGTGTTCGCAACTGCAGCGCCCATTTAGGACCTTGCGTGTGTTTGCCACACGCAAACTTGCCCCTAGCCTCGTCAGGTGTTGCGCTTGCGCCTATATTAATCGTCTTAATCCTTCCCTATGGGTGCGGAGAGGCGGAGAGAGAAAGTGAGGTGGGTGCTTCGCAGGTGTGTTGCGCTACAAACAACTTCAACCTGGCCTGCTCGAGACAGCGGTCGCACAAGAAAATGAGCACCTGCTATTGGACTGACGGCGTCTAGTAAGCCAGCAGCGGCTATTTCGGTGCCCCTATTAGTCATCAGCAGTGCTCCTTAATTTTGGTGATCATTGTCATCTCCAATGAACTACCGTGAAGGCTGAAATATTATGAAGTACGCTGAGGAAGAGGCGTTCAGCCGGAGGGGTTTATTTGAGATCTGACGTTTCGAGTAGTTGCTTCGTCTACCCATCTTCAGGGACTGGGTTGGCGTGCGTACAACTCTCTTTATATGGCGCACATTGTTAAATGCGTGACCCGCCAGCGCGCCTGTGTGGCTGCATCCGACCCGAATGTCACCGTGACCTGAATCGCCCCCGCCCTCGTCGGCCGTGGAGATGACTGACGGCCCCGATTGTCCCGAGCCGTGACTGTCCCCCGTTAAAAAGGTTCGTAAAGTCGGACGGGGAAAGGCAAACTGATGTGGCGGTTGACAGAGCAGTCGGTGGATATCCAAGCTTCTTGCACCTGCCTTGTTGTATGATCGTCACCCCGGCCCACAATCTCAACGGCGTCAACGTTAAAGATGTGTCCCATTTGCGCGGCATGGGTTGCTACCTCCGGCTTTGATTTCAACCTTCGCGCGGCCAACTTACAGTGCGTGACCGATCTCATGAAACGTTGGCCAAAATTCTGGCATGCGTTCCCGATTAGGAAGGATTACTTAAGTGGGGTTGTTATACTGATTACCATGCAGCAAAATCCTATAACATTTCGCACTCACCAGGATGTCGGCTTTTGAATGCACTTCTTTTTGACCTCCTGCAGAAAGTACACTCGGAAAAAACTGACTACTTAATCAGCATGCATTTTTTCTATTGATTTTTGATGGTCTTATTAATTCAAATATATTTTATAAAGAACATGCACAAAATATGCTTCCTTTTACTCCTTCGGTAGAAAATAACATTGTCTTCATACTTTTTTGCCCTAAGAAAGTGTATATTTTAGTTTTAAAAA